GCTAAATTGCATTCTATGCTCCATTGACTTTTATGTCTGATTAGGTGCTTCACCCAGTCACCCACAGAGTCATTTGAGGTGCTGCAAATGGACACTGCCTGGAATCCAACTGAAGCTCCAGACAGCTAGGGCTATTTTATAGAGCCTGTATCGCATATTCCAGGCCTACACAGATGTCTCAGATATCTCAATTCCAACATGAGGGCAACTGATGAGTCCTAAACGTCTACTGACATGTAAATAGACATGTAAATAGACATGTAGTTGTCTATATTTGAACTTTAAATCTGCCCCATACTATGGGTTACTGGGGTCAAGGAGAGGAAGACTCAGAAGACAGCTGAGTGACAAAAAGTCACTTTACTCATGGAACAAGCCAGGGCTACACTGACACTGAGAGGACTCCACATTTCAAGTTCTACAGATCTGCCATAAAACTAAGATCCTCCAGAGTGATTAAAGGCAAGAATTCCTGTGTATTTGAGGAGAGCAAATCCTAGGAATGGCATCTGGGAGAGGACAGTCTCCAGATAAACTTCAGCTAATAAACCTCCAGAACTAGTGAAAAATGAAAGAAAAGAAACAAAGGAAGAAAGAGAGAGAAAGGAAGGGAGAAAAGTCAAAATCTAACTAAAAACTAAAGCCAAAACAGTCAGCTAAGGGGAATTGAGATGGTAGTCCATGCCTAGCACTGAGAAGCCAGGTAAATACTTCTGCAGGTAAGTTCACAGCATGAACAAAAACACAGAAAATTATTAGAAGGTAAAGAAATGCATATGCAACTAAGATTATAAGTGGAAACACAAGACATCTATAATCAGTTTTTAGATAAGTTGCAAACTCTGTGAGACCTGTATAATTTAAGATTCATTTCAGCTGCCTAATCATCACACCCTAGAGCCATCTGAGGTGCTCAGTGACATCCCACCTGAACTTCAGCTGCTAATCATGAAGGGTCTGGCTGTCTCTGGTCCTCAGTAATATGTCAGCCTTGTCTAGATCTCCTGGATTCCCTACTGTATTTCAATTGGTACTAGGCACCTATATTTAAGCAACTACATTGATCTGTTAAACATTATGTTAGTAGGTACTTTAAGAATTACTACCTCATCTCAAATTTATAATCAGTTTTAAATTCCACCCTGCAGTCACTCTATGCCTCAGTTTCCCCACAGTAAAAAAAGAATACTTAGGCAATACTTAGGATCATCAGACAACGCAAGCCACTTAATGCCCTTAGTTGAAGGGGAAGAGATGCATATCTCTTAACAGCAGCAATCAAAGTCTACAGTCTAATGCAAACATTAACTGTTAATAGTGAACAGTATTTTAGAATGCCAAAAATATAATAAAAAGCTTCATATTTTTCTGTTAATTCATTTTTATGATGTGGTCCCTGTTTCTGTCATAGTGAGTTTTATAAATATTTTTAAGAGACGTTACTTTCATCAAATTGCAATCTTAAGTGATAAAATTTCAGAATATCTTAAATGATTAGGATAACCTATAAATAGATAGTCATATGCAGTCCTTAATCAGAAGTAGTTCTCACTGGGCAGTGATTTGATTGAACTGCTTTTATCTCTGTGCATCCAGAATTGAGTCTTTGATGAAGCTCCAGAGTTGTAGAAAGCTGCATGCAACCATTTAGTGACCTTGCACATTTATATATTTACATCTGTTTCTCTGTAATTCAACTTTTTTTTTTCTCAGCATACTAAGTGAGGCAGGCCTGCAAGTCTGCATAAATTTATAGCTTGTCCATGGGACCAATGCATCAAAAAGATGGATAGGTTTCATTATGCCTTATATCTAGTTTATATACTGTGATTTATGATTGATCTAACTGTTTTCTTGCACTTCAGAATTATTTTACCTACAAAATAGCCTTCATGTTATGAAACTGCAATATCATCTGCATCTTCAAATACAGAGTATCTGCACAAAGTCACTACAAATTTTTACATCTGAAGGACACTGCAGCCTATTACACAACAAATTATCAAAGTTAATGATTGCATATTCGTATACATATTCAAGTATGATGCTATTACAAGCACATGTGAACCAAGCCTTGGGATTGAATCTGCCTGGGGCCTACTAAATATTATGGAAGTGTCGTTCCTGCACGACATTAATAGTAGATAGAAACTGCACTTGCTATGTGTGCAAACATGCTGTAAGTAGAAATAAAGTAGTTAATGAAATAATACTAATTTTTTAATATTATGTTTCAACATATTTTTAAAACACCATATTCGTAAAGCATTTAAAAATATTAATACTGTAAAGTTTATATTAGGAAACAACCTGATTCCTATTAAGTCCACATACTTCACGTAAGATAAACAAATCTCCCTAATTCTAAGTACAGTCTGGTGAATAACTTTCCTAATGCCCAAGGGGGACTAAACATAAAGAGTTAATTTCCATGATCTAATGAATAATTAACCATGAAATCTTTTTATCGGAAAACCACTTTTTTATTAAAATGCTAATTTAATTAATAGAATTTTGCTGTTTAGAGTAGTATATATAGAATATATTTGTTCTCAGATTTATGTTATTCCATGGACATTAATTATAACATTGTGATATTCTCTCTTCTGTTCTGAACATCTAGTAAGACCTGTACTACTAAATCATACTTAATAGGAGTGTGATGGTTGTTGCTTAGGCAACAGAATGAATAAATGCAGGTCAGAATGTGCTTCCAGAAAAACAAAAGCAGGAATATAGTAGAGAATGAATAAGAAATATGTCTTAACTGATTTTTACTGCACTGAAGTATTAGATTTCTTCACTGTAAAGTAGCTAACCTATCTGAAACATTTAATTTAATAAGATTGAAACTCTAGCTTAATATGTAAACCACTGTAATAAAGGTAAAGCATTTCTGTCATATTAAGGAAGATTACAACACACTGAAGTAATCTGATTTTTTTCTCTTAGCATAGCAGGTGTTTCTTCTCTCATTTTCCTATATACTTTCCGAGTTTAATTTTCTCTTTAACATTTTGACTAGAATGGAAAATAATTTCTCAAGCACTCATTTAAATTTTTCAAAGGAGGCTTTTCTTACATAATGCTAATATATTCAAAGGAATAATATAAAAATAAATCACTGTTTTCTGATAATTCTTATTTCCAATAAAATATGGGAACTATAAAATTTCTGGTACAAACAAAAACTGAAATATGTAACAGCAGGATGAACAGTCTGAAATCAATAAATTAGGAACTCTTGGATTATTCCATTCACACATGTATGTTACATCAACTCATATTAAAGGTAATTAAGTATTTTACCTGCAATATATATTTAAAAACAAAGCACTTCAGAAAAGGTTAAAATTATCAGAAAACACTGGCTAACAGACAGGTATGCAAGCATAACTTACTCTCTCTGATACCTTAAAAGTTTGATTTCTATACTGAATAATAGCATCTTGTATATAATTTGTATGTTTACATAAGTATACTAATAAGAGACGTAGGAAAGTCTTATGAATTCCCCAAGAATGTGGTTCAGGCCCCTCCAGAGTCAGGGTATGACTGAAAAGCCCTCCAGGGTAGTTTATTTGGCTTCTCTTGTGCTCATAATCTACCTGTGGTAGGTGTACCCCTCTGCATTTGCTGTGCCACCTACAGCCTCTTGTGAACAATTTCCTTCTGTAACCTCTTTAAGACTAAATGGTCATCTACTTACGTAACTAATGGTACAACACATATGATAATATGTAGTTACATTTTGGGAAACTGTAGCATGAAACACATATTGGATTTTATTTTTTTTCACATTGCTGAGCACAGCTTCGTTTTCAAGAACACTTAAAGGCAAAGATTCTAATAATTTTTAATGAATAAGCAAATGATCACATGGCAGCCATGTAAAAACAGGAAGAAACCTCTGCACTATTATTATGTGGAAATGACAGTGATATGTGCCTTAATTTTCTGATCAGTAATGGTATATAATGTTGTTCGCAAAATAATTTAAATAGGGAGACTACAACTCGTGATGATTTTATAGTCATAATTCATGCTGTTTCACTTCTGTTTCTTATATGATGTGTGCAAGTTATGAAAAGTTAGAACTGTTCCAACATATATTAAAAATATCTTTAAAAGGTATTTTAAAAGATGTTTTAGAAGAAATGCAGTCAGGATTTTTGGAAGAGGTTGAAGTAATGGGAATACTGAAGCAGATAGAAAAGTGATTATATAACAGCCTTACAAGTAAGCTTCTCGCTTTACTGTCAATATTCATTCCAATTGAAAGTTTGTGCATGACAGATCTCTGTTACTTTACACCACATGGTGATACTGTAAATCTTGAAGTACCTAACATTTCATTTCATTCAAATATTCCTGATAAATGCCTACAGTTAAAACATGAAAATGGAACAATTAATAGGAATGCATTACTTTTCCTCCCAGGGCATAAGTTTCAACAAGTGAATCCCATTGCCTGACTATCTAAGATGCAAAAATATTTAACTGAGACATTCAGAATCACTTGCAGAGAGAGCACACTTCATTAAATAATTTTCTGTTATTAAAATACATCTCAAGGCAAGAATGGCATTGCATGTTATTTAATTATCATTGCAAGTTAATGTTGAAATAAAAGTAAGAATGTGATGTACTGCAGAAAGGGGTGCTTGCAGCTTTTACATACTATGAAAATTCTTCAATGGATTAAAAGAATGGTGCATTTTTCTTCTTTAATCTGAAGATTTATGAGGGAGAGAAAGAACCTTAATATTCAGTTTTTATTTTACCATATTTCAGGCTAGAATATTTTGTAATGTGTACATTTTGGGAGTTTATACAAGGACAATTTATATACTAATTCAGCTACACATAGAAAAGTGAAACACCAAACAGATCTCAGTGCAATGCAGAATAGCTCTAAGGTTTTTATGAGCACATAAGAGACAGACAAAAAAGGCAGAGCTACAGTGTATATACACAGCTATGCACACAAGGTTTCTTACCATAAATTGCACATTGTCAAATCCATTAGCCAGCAAGTGGTTTTCATACTGAGGTAGCCCAATATTTTCCAACCATTGTCCCACTGTCTGGACAGGGCATCGGGGTCCTGTAGGAGGGTGAAGAGGGAGGCGTTTAAGCAACGAATAACCATCCACCGGATAATAGCGGTAGTCCTGGGCTGAGAGGTGGCATTGCCACATCGTGTTCCTGGAAAAGTTGGTATCAAACGAGCCCGCCAGCTTGACAGATTAATGCTTCCAGCAAGCAGAAAAGTCAGAAGTAAAACATAGTTTTCAGGGCAGTATATAGCGTAAGATCTGATCGCAGCTCTACATTTCTTAGTTATTAATCTTTACTACAGACCAGTACGTCATACAGTAGGGAGGAAAAAAAAAAAAGCATATCAAGCTGTCAGCTAAGCTGTTCTCCGTTATATGCGATTGTTGGAATACTCCACAATGAGCAATGCACTGCCAGCAGCAAGAATTCTTTTTATCAAGTACTCCTACACTCATCAGTATGCATCCCCATGCTTCTTGCTCCCCCTCGCTCGCTCCCCTTCATTACCCAGCCTAGGCTACACCTCGCATTTTCAATAATAGCCATCAGATAAGGCAGATTTTTTTTGTCTGCAAGCTGTAAGCCTGCTGCTGCTGCTTCCTCCTACACACCCATCCAAGCGTCAATCTTGAATGATGAGAGCAGTCAAAACAAATGCAGAAAATAGCAAGATTCAAAAGCAACCTAGAGCACTTAAATCTGAATAAAATCTTCATACCAGTTATGCTTTACATATCTGTTTGTTGTAGATTTTTACATTTCACAAGACATTAAGAAATGCAATATATAAACCATAGCCTATGGCATGGTTTACTATATCTTCCCCTTACCCCTTTTAATATAATATAGGTAGTGGTCTGCATCTCTGCTTGTATAATAGGAAAACCCTTTAATGAATCAATAATGAATACATTTCACAGTTTCTCTCCTGTAGTACAGCAAAACACATAAATGGCACAACAATTTTAGTCAAAGTAATTAGATTATCTGCATGATTTCTTCAACCATAAAATATTATAAGACACAAGAAAACCTTCATGCCGACATATATAATAATTCAACTTGAAAAGGTCATCATTTCAAATGAATAATTAAAAGAATGTTTCTACTAAATAAAATTGCAAATTTATATCCTTTCTTGCAAAAATGTGAATGATAGCAAGCACACATATAAGATTTGCATGATTTCTAGAGAGGATGTATATTTTATCAACTATAACTGAAAAAAAAGATGATGAATTTTAAATGAAAGCAAAGTTCATTTTCTGCAAAAGAAACCAAACTCCTCATGATGTATTTTCTATCTACACTCCATTTTTGAGACAGTTTTTCTAGAAATGGAAATATTTTATTCCTTTGTTCTGACAGGAATGTGTACTAAACTTTTGCTTTTCACAACAGGATGAAAGGATTTAGCAAAAAAGGCAGAAAATGGGTATATTCAGGACAAAATTCTAAGAGGAACCCTGTTCAGCAGAGCTTCATTTATTGAACACATTAAGTACTTTTTTTGTTTTTCTTGTCCATTGTGGATCTCGAGCAACGACTATCTCTAAGAAGGAATTTAATTCCAGGCATAAGGAAATTATAGATATCTGTCAAGGGCATCATTTGGGACTGATGATGGCAGATATAGCAGAAAACTGTTTCATAGAAATCCAAACCTATAGTCTGACCAACATGTTATAATACAAAGTCTCTGCAAGTGCCATGCAGAGAATCCCTGAGCAGTCACAGAACAGATCCGAAATATAGCTGGATATTTAGAATTAGGAATATTATAAGAGTTTCAACTCCAATCTGATTAGTCCTTGGACTAAAACTGGCTGACCTTTCACTCTGATATTGCTGCTTGGATTTGTGAAACAACTCATGCAAACTGAAGTCCATAATGTTTTGTAGAACAATTTTAGTTGAGCCATAGAAGATCTTCCATGAGGTTGGAAAGTTGCCCAAAACAAGTCTGTTATGAGATCATACGTTACTCCATGTATTCTTACTGATTTGATACTACTACACAAAGTATGAAAGATTTACTAGATCTTTAAAAAAAGTACTGAAGACTTATCAAGCAGTGGTAAATCTGCAATTGCTGAAGAAACTTTTAGGAATTTTCTAATAGCTAAATTTACTTCAAATAAACAAATGGATAATTAATTTATTCTCAGAGAAAGTAGGTACACCAAGTTGATAGGAGTCTATGTCTCATGGAGATCCAAATGCATTTGTTCACACCTGTCTAGAAATCATCCCTATTTTGCAGAGTTTTTTCTACTGTGAATCAATACCTTTGTATATAGGCTGTGCCCAGTCAGTAGCAAGGAGAAAGGTAGGCTATGTTGAGTTGAAATACAGGGGCCTTCCCTTGAATAGGCAAATCTGAGAGGTGGACACGATCTCCAGAGGGCAAATTGAGAACAAAGTTATCTTAAATAAGATGAGAATTAAACCTTTCTGAATTTTTCTTAGTTGGCTGAGAAATCATAAACTTCTTTGAAAAAAGAATCCAGATTTTGTCTTTCCCTTTCCCCCACAAGCAGAAAAACTGATATTGGAAAGAGATCTAGTGAAGCATAGTCCCTTTGAAAGGATTATACATGACTGGTGCCTGTATTTCCTATATATGCATAGACACAAATGTCTCTGCACTGTGTCACCCTAACTAACACTAACAAAAATTTTCTGCCCACAGTAAGGCACAGACAATAATCAGTATATTAGTTTCATGGTCAAACTGCTTCTTCCTTACCTTACTATAAGCAGCATGGAAGTTATGCTGCCAACAATGAGAAGTGCTTGGCTCTATGCCTAGCAACAGTGTAGGCAAAATTCAGTTTTTGAGTGGCTCCCCAGACACATCTCCTCATGTAGCTGTTGGTACTGTGTCTAACTATCTCTATGGCTCCAGCACTGGATGATTATAGCTGCTCGTCCCAGTGTCCTTTGCCAGTGTAACTAAACATCTGAATCCATCAACACAACATAAGGTTGCTCAGCAAGGGGAAAGAAACTAGGGAGAAACACAGTCAGCTTGCTGCCTAGTCCTCATCCCTGACTATTGTGTTATTGCTGAAGCATCTTGTGATCTGCAAGACTTTTTTTTGCTCCTTCTTCAGCCAAAGGTTGTAGCAAGGCAAAGGAGAGTACAGAACAGAGACAGGAACGTTTGTATTAGGGAACTTGCAGCTCTTTAGATCTTCAGATTTTTAGCCAGTTCAGGTGTCTTACCTCAGGGGGGCTGCTTGGACAGTTTTTCTGAGCCAGTGCAGTTGTAACCTAGAGCAGAAGCTACTGCTTTGAGCCTAAAGGCTATCTCTTAATTTTGCTAGTCTATGACTCGGTGCCAGCCCCACTATTGTGCTGCTGCAGGTAGTGCCTACTTTGCTTATACCTAAAGCTGGTCCTGACATTGAAAAACTGACTGTATGGGATTGTCTTACTTGCAACACATCTACATATTGCTGTGCTTTCCTATGATTTCAAAGGACATAAATCCCATGATAATCCTTCTGTGATACCACAATCAAAAAAGATGTACCCTTTCCCGCACAGGAAAACTGACATGTAAGTCTCTTGCAGAGATAGCAGCACTTGGTTCTTCCTTCTCCAAGGCAATAGAAGAAGCACAGTGAAGTGATGTCTACAAGAAATATGCCATCTGGTACACTATACAACAATTTCTACAAGACATCTTGTTCCCAAGGGGACTCAGAATATATTTATTGTGGGGTTTGGAATTGACTGAATCTGTGATATCAGAGAGCACATGATTTCAAATATGTTGTAAGGCATATCTGCTCTAAATGCTAAGAAATTTAAGGTCTCATCAATTTTATTTTCTGTACTGTTAACAATATGGATTCTTCTTTCTTGAGTTTTCTTTATTTGTTTTTGACTGAGGAAAAGAAAGAACTGCAGTGATTATTTCTAGAGGAGGTGCTCCCCTAGTCATTATGAATAGACTATTATAAACAATTCTTTTTTTAGTAGGTAAATACCTGTCAAACATTGCTAAACACTTCTGGTGTTAAGGAATCAAAACCTGGAGAATTTCAGTAGCTACTGACCAAAAAATTTCTGAGTGGAGAATATATCACAATATGAAAGGATGGTTCATTTAGGTAAGCTGGTAGAGAGTTTAGCAGAGCTGGAGAAGAAATGGATGCTATAGTAAGTGCTGTAAACTTTTTTTTTATTATTATTAAAGCCTTCAGCCTTATCCAACGCTAAACAGGATATAATTTTTCTCTTTATATTATTTCAGCCAGATAAAAAAGCTACCTGTCGACATTGTGACAGAACCTGTGCTACGGCAGTTAGCATGACAGGGTGTTCTAGTGAACAAATGAATCTAACAACATGCATTCCTGAGAGGAGATAAGAATAGCTAGGAACAGGATGTTGTATCAGAACAACTGTGCCTAACATCCAGCAGGCCACTATAATTAAAGAAAGTTTATTATGGGAGAAGTATAGTAGGTTCCAAGAAGTGTATGCAGTGTTCTGCTTTATCGTATGCATTTCAGTTATATTATTAGGCTACTCAAAAGGCTTAGATTTTAAATGGTCTTTTTCATAAAACTCTGAAAAACCTGGATGCCTTACATAAAATCTGTAACTTCTGTCAGCAGCCTGGCTCTTTGGATGATGATGACACTGTGGAAGATCATGTTTGGTAATGCTGAATATTTCTCTGAAAGTGCTTTTAGAGACATTTTTCATGACATACAGAAACAAAACAAAATCAATAGTAACAGCTTGAATTTAAATAACACTATCTAGTATCTATAATCTAAAGGTTACATTCCATTGCTTACGTGTAGCTCAGAACTCACAAAAATAGCTCTCAGATCACAGCTAATCAAGCTAATGGAACAACCCTTATTGACTAGGAAAATCATCCTCACAGTTCTTTTCTGATTTTTACATCAATATTGATTATAACTCTACCTTACCACTATGTAAGTACAATAGCTATATCTATAATAACTATAACTACAAATTCAACAAAGACAATTCATTTTACTTGACAGATTATTTGTCAAC